AGAGTTCCAGTCACCTGACGAGGAAATGAAGAAGATTGTCCTCAAGGTGCATTAAAAACTATTCAGAAGAATTAAAAATGTAATCTTTCTAAAACATTTTAGGCTAAACTTTTTATTATTTTTTTTTTTTCTTGTACATTCCAGGTGGTGAAGCAGTGCTGTGGCACAGATGGTGTGGAAGCCAATTACATTAAAACAGAGATTTTGCCCCCCTTCTTCAAACATTTCTGGCAGCACAGAATGGCGTTGGATAGGCGCAACTACAGACAGGTATGTGAGATCATCAGATAATTAGAAGTAACGTTAACCATGAGTAATATGCATTTAATCTCATTTGTCTTTTTACTTGTATAACAGTTAGTGGACACTACAGTGGAGCTGGCCAATAAGGTAGGGGCAGCTGAGATTATCTCCCGTATCGTGGATGACTTGAAGGATGAAGCTGAGCAGTACAGAAAAATGGTCATGGAGACCATTGAGAAAATTATGGGCAACCTTGGTGCCGCTGACATCGATCACAAACTGGAGGAGCAGCTTATTGATGGAATCCTGTACGCCTTCCAGGAACAGACCACTGAGGTGAGTTATGGACTTTGCTGCATGTTAAATATCCTGCTGCTGTTATATGATCATCTTACATCATAATCTCGCCTGTATCTCCAGGACTCTGTAATGCTAAATGGCTTTGGCACGGTGGTAAATGCTCTGGGTAAGAGAGTTAAACCATACTTGCCTCAGATCTGCGGTACAGTGCTGTGGCGTCTCAACAACAAATCTGCCAAAGTCCGTCAACAGGCTGCTGACCTGATTTCTCGCACAGCGGTGGTCATGAAGACATGCCAAGAGGTGAGGGGTGCATTATGTACATTTATGGACTGGTTAAACAAAATACTGATACTGCTTACTAATGTATATCTTGCTTTTATATTTCCATGTAGGAAAAGCTGATGGGCCATTTGGGTGTGGTGTTGTATGAGTATCTGGGAGAAGAATACCCAGAAGTGCTGGGTAGCATTCTTGGAGCCCTTAAAGCTATTGTCAATGTTATTGGTGAGTGTCGGTCAAAGTGCTTCATTACTGGTGTTTGCTATTGCATCTAAGCCCTAGCTCTTAAGTATTCAACTTTGCCGCAGTTTTTTTCTCTACATTTGTACAACCAAAAATACTCTGCCAGAACAGCAAAAAAATTGTTTTTTCTGATTGATGTTTATTTTGGAATCCTTAAAAATAATTTCAGTGCATCATATATTTGAGTTATTTCTACTGCTTTGCTTTCTTTTGAGTATAATTAAGTATGTAAATGTCCCGTTGGCAGGTATGCACAAGATGACACCACCTATCAAAGACTTGCTTCCACGTTTGACTCCAATCTTGAAGAACAGACATGAGAAGGTGCAGGAGAACTGCATTGATCTAGTGGGCAGAATCGCTGACAGGTCAGTTCTACAGTTCCCTGCAGAATTCGAGCTATTAACATTTGAAATATTCTGATAATGCCTTCTAAACACATCATCGTGTCCTTTGCAGGGGTGCGGAGTATGTGTCTGCCAGGGAATGGATGCGCATCTGTTTTGAATTGCTAGAGTTGTTGAAAGCCCACAAGAAGGCCATCCGCAGAGCTACTGTCAATACTTTCGGCTACATCGCCAAGGCCATTGGGTAAAACACAAAATCCTTCTCAGCAATGCAGAATGTGTCAGGTTTGATAACGTTGATTTTTAATTTCTGTTCTTAAATCTCTAGTCCTCACGATGTGCTGGCCACGCTGCTCAACAATCTGAAGGTGCAGGAGCGTCAGAACCGTGTGTGCACAACGGTAGCCATCGCTATCGTGGCCGAGACATGTTCGCCGTTCACCGTGCTTCCTGCGTTGATGAACGAGTACCGTGTTCCTGAACTTAACGTTCAGAACGGTGTCCTAAAGTCTCTGTCCTTCCTGTTCGAGTACATCGGTGAAATGGGCAAGGATTACATATATGCCGTCACACCTTTGTTGGAGGATGCTCTGATGGACAGGTAAGCTGGGAAAAGAATGACTGATTTTCACAAGAGTGTTACCACTTAAAACATGCAGATTGTTTTCAGTAGGCCTCTGTAACTCTGTATTTGCTCTCCATTGCAGGGATCTTGTACACAGGCAGACAGCCAGTGCTGTGGTGCAGCATATGTCTCTGGGAGTGTATGGCTTTGGCTGTGAAGATTCTCTCAATCATTTGCTCAACTATGTTTGGCCAAATGTCTTCGAAACGTCCCCTCATGTTATCCAAGCTGTCATGGGGGCCCTTGAGGGTCTGCGGGTGGCAATTGGACCCTGCCGCATGCTGCAGTATTGCTTGCAGGTACATTTTACTCTTCCAGCATGGAATCTGCACACTTTATATAATGTTTTTTTTTTTCATTGACTTGTAAAGATCTAATGGCCCAATGTTTTTTTTCTCCCTCAATAGGGTTTGTTCCATCCTGCTCGCAAAGTGCGTGATGTGTACTGGAAGATCTACAACTCCATCTATATCGGCTCCCAGGATGCACTGATCGCACATTATCCTCTTGTCTACAATGATGAGAAGAACTCATACGTTCGCTACGAGCTGGAGTACTTCATGTGAATATAACTACCCTTACATGTGCACTCTCTTTTCTCCTATATCTGTGTCTAATTCATGGTTTATAGGACTTGGTCCATTTTTTATGTTCTCTGGTAGGTTACAACCAGTACCACAAATTCTGTGGCCTAAAATTTATTTCTTATTAAAGAACAGAAAAATGTCGAAAAAAAGAATCTGTTAAATGTGACGCTTTTTGCTCTTTGGATTAGACGTTTCTGTTTTTACGGCGTGGCACCATGCACAGTGACAGTAAAGATAGAAGCAGAGTTTCTGAGGAATGTGATTTATCTTCAGTAATTCTTTTAATTAGAGACTTGTGTCCTGATCGGTCTCGCTCAGTCACACATCTGTTCTTATTATAATGTTGCTTAGTTTGGCTGAATAAACATTTGTGTATTAAAAGTCATTGGTCTCCTCTGTCATTTGTTTTATCTGTTTAGCACAACCAAAAGTAATCCTGATTTTATTCTATCTACACTTTCAGTATTAAAATCCTCTCAAATGTCATCTAAAAAAAAAAAAAACAATCAAGCTTCAAATTTGCAAAATTGACTGGAAATTTGAAAATCAAATCCGATTGGGCTGCAGTGTGAACTAAGACCTTTTAATCAGTGAATATTTCTAGCTTTTACCTGTAGTACAATGCATGTTAAACCCAAGGAAGGATCTTGGGTTAAATGCATTCATTATATGAGATTTTGTTTGCTTATTTCCCACATTCTGCTTAGACACAACAGAAGATGTAAAAGGAAGATTGTCATTTGTGATTTTGCACAAACATGAGGGTCCTGGAGTTTCTCAGGCTGAAACAATGTGAGACCATACTTTAGAGATTTTCAGACATAATTTATCATTTTTACATCCACCCTTTCAGATAATATTTGCTCTTTTCCATGAAGTCAATTGGCTGCTTTATCGTGGAATGCAGTGCTTGTGCTGATCTTGACAATCTTGAAAATATTCTCTTGAACATTTGCTTTGTTAGTGGTCCTTGGCTGTTAAGTTAAAATAAAATACTTATTTGGATCAAGAGCTAAAGCCTATTGCCTGGAAAACTACATTTTGGACTATGTCCTGGAATGTGTTTGAACTGACTTGAACCTCTCAGTTTTCATTAAATATTAAAATGTGTACTTTTATAGTATATCCTCTTGTGTAAACAGTACATATGCAACAGCCACTTGCCATGGTCTCCTTTTTACCCATCAGCCCAAACTCTCATGCCTTTTTAAATATAGCTTCTGTATCAAGCAGACACACACACACACAGTCTGTTAGGTGATGTCATCCAGCAAAGGACAAACAAACTGATATTTGCTTCCAGGGACATTGTGGGCAAGTTCCTGTTTACCATTTCTTTAAGAATGTAGAGCTGTCATTTATTAACTGTACAGACAATAAGACAAATATAGAACAGCAGCAAATAAACAAAAATGAAAGTTTTAAAAGCTAATTTCATTATAGTGGCAAATTGCAATCTTCCATTTAAATGTAAATCCTAGGGTTCAGCATGAACTTTTGCCAAATAAATTTGACCGTTATAAACCGTACAATGCTTCCTGCCCTTAACACTTATTTTATCTGGTTTTAATCATTGACAGTAAATCGAATTTTAAATGAATCGAATCTTACTAAATTGCATTTTTTAAATAATTAGAGTATTCATCAAGTATTATGTTAGGACATTGCTGGGCAGTAACGTTATACAGCCAATACAGTATATCTCTCATTACCTTTGAACAAGCTACAAAGAGAATACTTTTTGACATTATTATAATTAATGTATTATTTCAACTGTAATTAAGAAACCTATATATATATATATATATACTCTGAAAGATGTGATATCTGTATTCTATGAGTAATAATCAGAGAAGGTTAGCGTACTGAATCATTTTAGCAAATCAGTTAGCTCCGACAGTTCGGTTCACAAAACGATTCACGTATTGGAGTCATCGCTCACTGTGACCGAATCATTAAACACAACAGATTCATTAGAATGATTCATTCGTGCGTCAGACTCGTCAGACTAGCGAGGGCATCGTGAGGCGATGATGATTGCTCTTCGGAAGAATCCTGTGTGCATCAGATACAGAGGGGGAAACGAAATTACGAATCCTACTATGGTGATGCAATAGTTCATGAATATTAATTAGGTTGCGATGGCGTTCCTTCCTAATCTCCTCGAAGCATCCAGTCACACATCCTAATTTTATATTCATGAAACAGTAGTTAATTCATAAGTCCGCAGTAGCAATCGTTCATTGGTCATCACAACAGCGCCCACTCTGACAGCGTCTGCCTTTCAGCCAATCGGTTGAAAAGTTGGGTACCGTATTCATATTCATAAGCCACGCCTTCGCCATAGTAGGATCACGAAATTAGCGAGGAAGCATACAAAAAACGATGACTTCCTGTATTTTTTATAACGAATGAATACGTTACGCAGAACATAAGCGAGAGGGTTATACTATCTGAAAACGGTATCGCTGTGGATGCCACTGCTGTAAATGCGGATTGTTTACAGCAGCCCTCGCATCCTTTCCTCCCTCCCCTTTTCCTCTTTCCCGGAGCGCCGCAGCGCTGGTGGCGAGGCAGCGGCTACAGCAGCTCCCGCTGACCGAAGATAGCGCCTGCAGAGCCGGCCACGGCCGTCACATCACCCCGGGCCCCTGGAGGGTGCCATCCAGAGTAAAGCAGGAAGCAAGATCATTGTGCAGCATCATTTTTCCGTGAAGAAAAGCGCACAGCCACTTCTGGATTTTATTAATCTTCACCTCCAGGTCTTTTCAGGAGTTTGGATGTGCAGTTTCACATGATATGGCTGTTCTTAAACTAGTCGACCAGGTAATTGCATACGTTTTTTTAAACGCACGTTTTTGTTTGCAAAATTATCAGTTTATTTGGATGATGGCATGCTGCTTGGATGAAACTGAGGGATTTGCCCACGATTAAATGTCATTTTCAATGAATGCACAAAATACAGAATATGATGCTCCATATATAGGCTATGGTTGCAGCTGAAACCGCATGATTCATGACAGCACATACAAGTGTGTTTTATATGCTCATGCCTGTTTCTGCTGTCACGCATTTTGTTTAAACGACATAATAGATCTTGTTGGAAGATTCTTGTTTTCCTGAAAGTCAGAAACAGCTACTTGTGCAATTTGTGAAAGTCGTGAATCTGATTCTACTTTGGAAATGATTTATAAGTAGTTTTTTTTTTAGTGTATGCTTATTAATATGTGTCTTATCAACACCAGTGTAAGAATGTCGTTTATATTTAAGTGAGATAGAGTAGAGTAACAAAGTGAGTGTTGTTCTCATTTATTGCATAATTTGTGTAAGGAAAATGATCTGCTTTCATCTAGAGAGAACAAACTTCCTGCTCTCTGTTGGAGTGTGCATGAGGCTGATGTTGATATGACTCCTAAATCTAATCTGCACACCATAACAAGTTTTTAGAAGAGAACATCCCAAATTCATATCATTATCAGCACACCTAGTCAGATTTCTGTTTTAACTGACTAGTATAAGTTGCATACCAACATATATGGTTGAGCTCCACCCAGTTAAAGCTCAGTCAAGTTCCTTTTCTCACAAACATCACTGTTGTTCACTTATTTGAAACTTTTGTTGTGACAGTAACAATACTTTAGTTTCACATTAAACTTTTGTGTTTATAATGTAGTTTTTCTAGTTAGTAAAAGACTGAATTCATTGTAATCTGATTTTCATTGGTGATATTTTGAATGTTACTACTATACTTCACGAACTTGAAATTATATGTTACAACTTTTGATACTTGTCACCTCCACTAATAATTAGTTTAGTTTAGTCTACGTTTAGTTTTTCAGTAGAGTAGACCTGTATTTCCCTAACGGTCATGTGATGCACTCATATCAAGACACTATTGCAAATGTTCTAGGAAGTTGTCCTTGCAACAAGTAACTCGATGTCAATCAGGGGCCCCATGGACTTCATGTCAGGGTCGAGAAGATTTTTCAGCTGTGAGACTAGAGACTAAAAAGTCTGTACTAAATATTTGCACTATATGGTTAAAGCAAGGTTTCTTATTCAACAACATACATAGCTCATTCCATCCTGATGATCCGACGAGAGCTGCTCGCATCTCAGCATGTCTAACAGATATATATATATTTATATATATATGTTATATCTTATATAACAAGTGCAGCCATCGACAGCTTCATGTTGTTGATTGCCACAGAAAATGCCAACTCGTCCCTAAATTTGTAATAACAAACAAAAAATGTGTGTACAGTAATGCATTTGCAAAAAGGGCAAGAGATTCCAGAGGGCTTAAAAGAAGTGTGCAGCTCATATCTTTGATAGAGCACTTTAATTAATTTGTTCATAGAAAATGTGTGTATACAAATGCACTTAAGATATTAATCAAGTATATTTCATTTAAGTCATTTTTTTACATTTACTGAACTGAATAATGTTTCCTAAAGACTGTTCCAAAATGTCATTAATTGCAGTAATTTTATATATTTCGTTTTTCTCATAGTTTATTCTTTGTCCTAATATTTTTCTAAAATAAAAATATTTATGGGAAAAAGTAAATCTCAGATATGCTGTCAACTTAATAAAAAAAGTAAATATTTAACTGAAATATTTTTAACAATTTGTTTTAGTATAATGATGATATAAAGGCCAATTATTTAATTTTAGAAAGGAAACTATTAATTTATTTTGCCGTTTTAATAATATTAAATGCTATATTTTCCTTACACAGTAAAAATTTATTTTTATACATAAAAATATGCAGCTGCCTTCAGTGGGGTCCCTCACAAGGGGATCATCCCATTTGACGTCAGAAAGTTTGTACTATTGATCAATATCAATCTTTAGTGGTGGGACTACTGTTCTAAGTGAATGTACTTTGTGCTTCAGGTATACCGAAATAATTTATTTAAGTGAGTGGATTTTTCTCTGTCATGACAGGAGTTGAAAGACTGGATAGTACTTTAACACCTATTTAAATTTTACATTAATTCATTTAGCAGACACTTTTATCCAAAGCAGCCTACAAATGAGGAACATCACAAGCATATACGGTTGGAAACTCTTGTGGCAATAAAAACAGTTTGTATTTTAACGTTTATACTGAAGCAGTGTCTTGCCGCTTAGACTTCCATTAAAAGTGCATTAATGTAAATGCATGTCTTGTTTGTTTTTACAGACCGAGACACAAGTTGAAATTATTTTTGGTGTGTTAACACCATGCCCCAAAAAAGTTTTACTTGCATTAATCCCAGGACATTTATTTTGTAGAAGTTTATATGTGACACTAAGTGTTCTGAGTGCAGTAATGTTTACGGTCATTTTGGTCTTGTGTACAGTTTGATTTCCATACTTTGCCCCAAAGAGGAAAGGAACAGGAAGTTGTTGAATCTCAACATTCCCCTCTCATGCTTTTTCGTAGTCTCGGAGGGTTACATGACACAAGTTCAGAGCACACAAGATATAGAGAGGAAATAGAGGATAGTATGCTTACGGCTTACACATCAGTCATCGTAAGACTTTAGATACTTCTGTTATGCACTTCATGACAGTGTTAGGGTTTTACACTTTTCATATTTTATTTTTACCATTCAGAAAACAAAGTTTAGATTCTTTCAGTTTAGATTTTTATCCAGAAGAGTGTTTTAGAGCTTGTTCACCAAACTCAATATAACCCCTGAATCAGATGATTTGCAGAATGCATGGTCTATCTAAAATTGTGATGTATGAAATAGCAACAGATAATTTCTTCAATGTTGTGATGGACATATGAGTGAGATTTTCAAAAAGGAAAAAAAAAACGTTTTGGTTCTATCTATCAGTTGTTGTTTGGATGGAGGCAGATCTGAATGTGAATTTGCAGTCAATTGTAAGAAAGGGGATGTTTAAGTGGACTAAATGTTTGGAGAAGTCCGTTGTACGTCAGCAGAGAGAAGTCTGTTGTTTCACCAGAAGATCAAGTTCTGATATATTGATTACATTTTACAAGGTCAAAAAACATTTAAAAAATAAAACCTATGCATGGGCAAATTTCCATTTCATGCTGACTTTAAACATCAGGGGAAAAATGCTGTCACAAGGAACTAGATTTCAGTTTCGCAGTTCATTTATTGTGCGACATCAGCAGTTCCTCATTTTAGACTCATGATTCTTAAGGAGTCAGTCTGCTTTGTTTTGAAGAAGAGCCTGCAGTGCTCCAGTTGTCAAAAGTGAAGAAAGCCCCAGCCCTCATTGGCTCAGAATGAAGTTTGGCTCACTTCTATTGGCCGTAGTGATAGACAAGGGGACTGGGAGTTGGGGGGAGGAGGTCGTGTAGCCTAATGCATGTCAACAATGGCTTCAGTGTTTGAGAGTTTGGCATGGAGCGGTGCTGGGAGGTCGGGGAATGTCCTCATTTGTGATGAGCTGCGTCCAGATCCCTGCTTGTGCCAGCGCTCAGCAATCTCGTCCCCAAGCTTTGCAGTGCCATAACACAGACAGCACTGTTGTCACCAGCTGTTGTGTTCTCTTTCCAGTGGGAGAAGAGCTGTGTGGTTGTGCATGCGATCCAGACAGAGGCAATATCTCATAGTCGAGAGAATTCAACATTGTATCCTCATAGATACAATGCTCTCATGAAAGAGCTCAATAAGGATGGCCCAGTGGCCCAGTGCCAGTTCTGTGTTATTTTACATTCCTGATCTTGTGCATGTGATTTTTATTTGCCTTGCAAATGTAAACATTTGGTTTTCTATTCATTTATTGAAGGTTGTTGTTGTGAATTCTGCTGATTTAAATATGTCACCAAGAGAAGGAATCCTGGGGGTTCACTGATGAACTAATTATTGAAAATAATTTTAATATGATATCCCCTAAGAAAGTATATTAGCCTAGAATATGCTCAGGAGATGTTTCACCTTAGACTTGTTTCTTCTCAAATGTCTTGAGAGAAATAAAAGGAAACAAGTGAATTGAGACAAATCGTAGTAGGCCTAAATGTGCGGCCAAATTTACAGTTGTTCGGTAATTTTTATGAGTGGAATCCGGGCCAATTTGATAAGAATCCATGCAATCAGGACATTTCACAGACAAAATTCTGTAATTTCAGTAGGAAGTCTAACATTCTGGAATTTTGCGAGAAGGCGAAAGGTTTCCCCAAGCAGATTTCGCAACAAGTTTGTCACGCAAATTCTCCCATTGACCAACAGAAAGCTGCTTTGTTTTAAAGTGTTTCATACAACACTACACCGTTGACAAGAGTTTTTTATGCAACAAGTCAATGAACTCTCACTAATTTGTGATGGCACCTGAAGCATACGGATCTAAAAGATTTATGCTTCACATTGCTAAAATAATCTGGTCAAATGTTTGATGTCATATTCAAAATCAAATATCTGACAATTTTATCTTTATCTGACAAATTTGTCTTGACATTTGCAACATTTTATGAATCTCGAGTAGGGTCCAACCCTCTACATTGCAACTAAATCTTCACTCTGGGCGACTAAATTATGTCTAATATTAGCCAATGGCTAATAAATTCTCAGATTTTACTCGCCAGTGTGTGAGTTGGATGCTGAGTATATGATTAGCACAGATATATTTTCACTCACAGAACACTCTGACTGAGCAGTGAGCACTATAGAGTTTCACTCTCCGTCAAGCGATCTGTGATATTTTTCAGTTCATTTGACAGTCCATATCGATAATTATTATGATAAAAGTCAAGTCTTTATTTCTTTCAAGTTTAAAGCCAGATTTGTGCTCCAAAGTGAAAGTTGTAGAAAAACCAGACCATTAATTTTCCTTAACAAAATAAATATCTTAATAGAAAAATTAATTTAATAGTTTTTGCATGTTCTAATGAGTGATATTAGTTTGAACATGGATAAACGGTCCATGTGACACAATTAAAATAACTAGCACTCTTTCGTTCTGCTTTTGGTGCATAAAAATTACATTGAACATTTATCAACCTCATGTTATCATTTTATCATGGAAAATTATTTTGCGATAATTATTGTTATCAATTTATCGCCCAGCCCTAATCTCTAGAGGAGGCACATGAGATTATTGGAACAAGCAGGAGACTTGATTTGCATTTGCTGTATAAAAGAAACGATTGAGATAGTTAAGAGGTCTCATTAATGATATGATATATGGTATGGTGAGATGCATGAAAAGAAAAATTCATGAAATTGTTCAGCCTTTGGTTCTTTTAGAGAGCTGAGTAACTTGAAATGACAAACAAAAAATGAATGATGGCTTGTGGCGAATTGGCACAGCAGAGATAGTTTTTTATGGATGATGAAATGAGTTTGAAGTGAGTGGGTGTGAGAGAGCCTGTTTCTGCAGCTGAAAATAGAGCAGATCTCAACAACACATCTCCTGTTGTCTGAGTGTTTGTTTGTATGTGTGCATATTAAAGAGAAAGTCATAGTGAAAGAAGCTATTCTTAGAAACATATTTTGAAATTTTTCATAAAACATGAACTTGTCTTCACAAAAAAGCCATAATGTGACTCTTTTGCAGCTATAAATTCATATGGGGTTTACAAAGTATGCTGATATACCGGTAAGATGTTAAAAGTCCATCCCTCTCTTTAAAATCTATGTCCTTACTGTTGAAGCCTGTGTGTTCATTTGCATGTTGGTCTGCCTGCATGTGTTCTGTTGTATAGCGGAAGTGAAAATGCTTTCCATGCTTCCTCTGTGTCGCTTCTGAGAAGGTGAAAAAGAGCAACAGGAAGTGAGATGTGGGGGTTATTGCAGAGAGAGACACTGGAAGTATAGATGCAGCTAAGTTTGGCTCAAACCACCTCGGTGTTGTTATGCTTCTCTAATCCCACGCATGTGTCGGATTATCATGGTTTTCAATGCGCTGCCATATAAATATATGAAGCTTGGCACTTGAATTTCGGAAAATAGCTGGTAAAGTACAGTTTATAAATATATTTGGTATTAGTTTAGTCTTTAGTTGCTGCATAAACAAGGACTGAAGATGATAATTACATAGAGGAAACATGACTTTAATGACCACAGTGTGTGGTACAAAGCTTTCTTGGGGCTCTTTGGGCCTCGATTTGGCCTCCCTGTAATGACGCCATGGAAATGGTGAAGGTTGTGTGGTTTTGCAGCCTAGCTGTCTGATTTGTGCTGAGAAACTGGTTCAAGATTTGAATGACAAAATTATTCCAAAGATATAAAACAAAGTTTATGTAATCAGCACAAGGATAATCTAGGGTTCTTGTAGCTCTGTAAGTCTGTATACTTTCTGATGAAAATGTGGCGCTTGCCTTTTGCATAATTTGCCGCCACAGTGCTATGGTGGTGGCCAGGATGTTGTTGTATGGTTGCAAAAGTGTTCTGTGTGGTTTTTTGGTGTGTTCCTATGCGGTTGCTAGGGTGTTAATGGGTGGTTTCTTGGGTGTTCTGGGTGGGTGCTAGCATTTGGGATTTGTTCAAATCTGTTACCGTAAAGGTGCAGTCGCATTAGAGAAAGAAAGTTCCGTTATCTGTAATGTAGCAATGTATGAAGCACAGCCCACACAGAAGTGACTTTAACAACTTGAACTTTTGCTTTACTTTTACTTGAACTAAATCTTTTGCTCCCGATTACAAGAATTTCTACAGCAATGACTGGATTTTGTCCATGAGAATTTGCCGAACAACAGTAAATGTATCCACACCATAAAGTAACGGTATGCAGCTTTGTGTGTTTTTGCAACTTTGGAGCCCCCTACAGTTAAGTGAATGGATTGCACTGTCGTAATTACAGTCGATAGCTGTACATTAGCATTTGTTGCTACTGTAAAGCAATCCACCCTTTTCGCATAATTTCGTACCTGCTCACTAAATTTACATAACTCCCAGAACAGACGTTTGAGGAAGAGTGTGGGAAAGAAACGGAAGCCATTCACCTTATTAAAACTTCAGAATGATATTGAAACTGATATTTAAAGGTAAAAATCTTACATACAGTTGATTTAAGTTTGAGCAATAGCACCAGTGATGCTTCATGCTTTTATTTCTTAATACCATCCATGTTTAAATAATCTCTTGTTTTTCACAGCCACCCCTCATCCAAGCCATCTTTAATGGAGACCCCGATGAGATTCGTGTGCTCATATGTAAATCAGAAGATGTCAATGCACTGGTATGGATCAGTTTCTTTTATTCTTCTACTCGCACGACTATATCTCATCTCTTTGTTTCTCGCAGCACAATAGTCGAGTAATCCTATGGACAACAGCCAGAGATTTATATACATTTGTCTCAGTAAAGGCAACAGGACACAAAACAGTTTTCAGGGCCGTTCTTCTTCCAGAATATTTATTTATTCTACTTGTCTCACTGTGTCCGCCTTAATGGCTCCAGCAAGAATTAGCTTGCTGTCCGAATGTTTTATATAGAGCCGCTGGTCAAAGTCATGATTTCAGGCTGCATGTGCAAACAGGTTCAGACAATGGACACATTGAGATGTTACCACCGCAAGTGTGTGAGCACATTAGTACATACTGACATCTCCATCAGTGATTGTAAAGAGCCACTCAATGCTTCTTTGTTGTGGATCGCATCGCTTGCAATGACAGGCAATCAGCATATTGCATTCAGAAGTGACCAATTCTCTGCAAAAACTTTGCAGTCCAAAGTGGGACTTTAGAAAATGTTGAAGGTTTTGGTGTTTAAAAATAATGGAATGTACTATAAAGACCACATTAAATGGATTGACAGACACAATTGTCTTTCTAGTGTTGATGTAGCCTATTTCCTATTGAAACAGGAAGTTGGGGTGAGACCTATCGAAGGGCTCATCTTTTTAAAAAAAAAATTTTATTAGCCAATAGCCTTTTGTTTATGCCACAGCTGTCAAAATATGATTTGTTACTTGCTCTTGTTAGGTTGTTGTAGAACATTTTGTCCATTTTTGGATAAACCATTGTCTGTCATCTGTAAGAATTTATTTGAATTAAATGAATACTTTTATTTATTAAGGATGCATTAGAATGATCAAATGTTACAGTAGAGACATTTATAACATTACAAAATATATCCATTTCAAATAAATGCTGCTCTTTTAAACTTTCATCAAAGCATCCTTTGAAAATAAATAATGTACCCTATCAACGGTTTCCACAAAAATATTAAGCATCACAAAATTTTTCAACATCGCTTATCATAAGAAATGTTTCTTGAGCACCAAATCAGCATATTAGAATGATTTCTGAAGGATCATGTGACACTGAAGACACTGAAGAGGTGGCTGCTGAAAATTCAGCTTTGCCATCACAGGAATAAATTACATTCAACATTTTACATTTTACAACAATTACATTCTTGTCAACTTTTAAGAGTGCACTAGCATGTACTGTAGATGGGTTCAAAGCTAATAGACATGATTTGATTTCATTTTTAACAATCTTTCCATCCTCTCTGTACATGTGTCTGACTCTCCAGCTGTCTTTTTTTTCATTCTCTCTCAGGACGCTGAGAAGCGAGCTCCCCTTCATGCAGCAGCCTTCCTCGGAGATGCTGAGATCACAGAGCTCCTCATTGTGTCAGGTAGAGCTGCTTTCTTTCTCTCTCCCTCCACTCCCTTCCCACCTCCCTTCCATAGTACCTTTACAGCATCTCCTATAAAATAAATGCATGTTCAAAACCCAGTCCATTAAAGGTATAGTTAAACCAAAAATAAATATTCTGTTATCATTTATGCATGTCATTCCAAATCCATGTGTTTTTTTAATTTGTCATGGAATGTAAAGGATGGTTTTAGTAAATGATGACAGAATTTTCATTTTTGGGTGGACTACCCCTTTACAAATACAGCATATAGAGCCTTCCTCAGAGATGCTGAGATCACAGAGCTCCTCATTGTGTCAGGTAGAGCTGCTTTCTTTCTCTCTCCCTCCACTCCCTTCCCACCTCCCTTCCATAGTACCTTTACAGCATCTCCTATAAAATAAATGCATGTTCAAAACCCAGTCCATTAAAGGTATAGTTAAACCAAAAATAAATATTCTGTTATCATTTATGCATGTCATTCCAAATCCATGTGTTTTTTTAATTTGTCATGGAATGTAAAGGATGGTTTTAGTAAATGATGACAGAATTTTCATTTTTGGGTGGACTACCCCTTTACAAATACAGCATATAGAGCCCTACATTTTTTAAGGTTATTATTGTTTGATGTTTCTTTGTAGGGGCACGGGTCAATGCCAAAGATAACATGTGGTTGACTCCACTACACAGGGCAGTGGCATCACGTAGCGAGGTAGGATTAGTTGTTCAACACGCACTCACTTTTGAATAAGACAGATGTTGTTTAATGTTGTCACACAGCAGGATGCCTTTAAAACAATGCTAATCATATGCAGAAGCTCCTGTGGGATTATAATAGGATTTTTCCAACACTGGATGCCGATTGGTCAATCGTATTCCAGCTGGCCTGAAGTACACAATATAGTTCGTTGATTTGCTTTGTACACATCTAGGAGGCCGTTCGCGTGTTGATCCGTCATTCTGCTGATGTTAATGCACGGGATAAGAACTGGCAGACTCCGTTGCATGTCGCTGCCGCCAACAAGGCTCTGCGCTGTGCTGAGGTCATCATCCCGCTCCTGAGCAGCGTCAACGTTTCAGATCGTGGGGGACGCACCGCCCTGCACCATGCTGCCCTTAATGGGCACACAGAGGTACTGCAAGTTGAAACTAAATATTTTTGCTTGGCACATAGCAATACTACAGAGCCTCACACATGACACGCGGGAAAAATATATATATTGTGGCCACAAATAAAAAAAATATTTCTAATATTTATTAATGTGTTTAGTTAAATCGTAGCCACTAATTACAAATTAATTCTCTCGTTTTAGTAAATTGTTGCCATGTTTTACTAATTTGATTTTTCATTTTAGTAAATCATGGCCACATTGTCCTAATTCATTCTCTGGTTTTGATTTAATGAAAACAAGGGAACAAATTAGTAAAAAAAAGCCACAATTTACTAAAATGAGGGAACAAATTCATTATTTGTGGGAATGAATTTTTCATTTGTGTTCATGATTTAAATAAAACGGAGGGCGAATAGTAAATTGTGGCCACAGTTGAACTAAAATGAGGGAAAGCATGAATAAAGCAAGGGAACAAATTCTTGATTCTTTAGAGCAAATTAAGTCGTGGCTACAATAAATATATTTTTGCCTCCATGTCATGTGCAGGGCTCTGATCATATTTTATTTCACTGCAGTTTGCAAGTTCAACGACTGAGACAGTGAAGGATTTATATACAAATTCACATGGCCACTGATACAGACTTAATTTTGCTGCATTGCATTGTCAACATAACTTGAAATTTGCAGAATGCAGAATGGTTTAGAAAGTCATTATATAAACTGACTATATAAACTGACATTAAATTACTGACGCATTATTGACTCCTGCTTTACTGCCTATTGAGGCGGATACAAGCATTCTCTCCTCCATTTCTCTATCTCTTTCTTATCACTGTTATTCACTTTCCACTTTCTCTCTTCAGATGGTTAGCCTTCTCCTGGCCAAGGGTGCCAATATCAATGCCTTTGACAAGAAAGACTGCCGTGCACTGCACTGGGCAGCATATATGGGTGAGGGAACAATCCTATAAAAACTCTGACCAGTATGTCTTTTCCAGTCAAACACAAAAGGAGTTGTTCACCCTGCTTCCATTTCAATACAAAAAATAGTTATTGGGGGCTGCCAAGCTCCAAAAAGGACATCAAATTATTCCATGCTAATTTGGATGTACGATATGTAATATCTGCTGGAATTTTGTAATTGTTGTTTTGATGATGTGCAAGTTGGCATTATCAAGTATGGCACTCACTTTGCAAAAACACACCCTGAGAGTAATGAATCTGTGTTTTAAACAAATCATTTGAGTGCATAAACCATTCATAAAGACAGTCATATGCTTTTTGAATGAATCAACCATTTTGAATAAATCAGCTTTTTTGAACAAATCATTTGAATGAATGATTCACTGATATCTAAATGCCAAATCAGATGCCGTCTCTGCAGTGCAAAAATAGATTTAGTTAGTGCTGGTTACATTTGATTGGTAACAGCCTATAGTATCTTATTATTCTAATTAAATTTGTTGATTAAATGTAAGAATTTGACATGAAAGATGATGCATACATTTAATAAGGTTTGAAAAAAAATGGCCGCTGTAAAGATTAAAATGCTCCTGGAAATTATTTCCATCACTTCTGCACAGAATATGAAAATCTTTGGGAGTCAGTTGTCCACAACAGGCCTAAACAAATTACCAGCAAAAAAAAAACACTAAAAAATATTTAGATATCAATATTTGGCAATATCGTATTTGCACTTTCATATTGTTTTTTCTTCACTCAAAACTGTCATATGTCTTCAGAAGACTTATGCTGAGACTTATGTTAAGTCATATGGAATAGTTTTATGGAGCTTTTATTGTGCTTTTTTCTTCTTTTTGGAGCTTTACACTTTCTAATTTTGTTTTATGGACAAGAGTCAATATTCTGGAAAACAGCTCCTATTGTGTTCTACAGAAATGAGTCATATGGGTTTGAAACGACATGAGGGAGAGTAACTAATAACAGAATTTTCATTTTGAGGTGAACTATTTGTGTTTATGTCTTCATGAGCTTCTCTCCATACTCCTGCAGGTCACTTAGATGTAGTGTGTTTACTGGTGAGTCAAGGGGCCGAGATCAGCTGCAAGGACAAGAGAGGATACACACCTCTACACGCTGCTGCTTCCAGCGGTCAGATCGCTGTGGTGAAACGCCTGCTCAGCCTGGCTGTAGAGGTACCCAGGATGCAAATAGATACATATAGAGAAGGGAGCATGGGAAAAACATCTAGTTTGAGCTTACTATATCATATGCTTTATTCATAGATAGATGAAGCCAATGCCTTTGGGAACACAGCGCTGCATGTGGCCTGCTTTAATGGACAAGATGCAGTAGTCAGTGAGCTGATCGACTACGGTGCTAACGTCAGTCAGCCGAATAACAAGGGCTTCACACCTCTGCACTTTGCTGCTGCGTCCACTCACGGTGCCCTGTGTCTGGAGTTCCTGGTCAACAGCGGAGCTGACGTCAACGTCCAAGTATGTCCATCTAGGACAAAACATTGACAGACAGTGCAAACCCTGTGTGCTTTATGCTACTAAACATTTCCTGATGTTTCCTCAGAGTCGTGATGGGAAAAGCCCTCTTCATCTGACGGCAGTTCATGGACGATTCACACGCTCCCAGACGCTCATCCAAAACGGTAAAGCTGTTTTTAGACTGCTTAAAGCCTACTGTTAGCCTGTGACTGATTTGCATGTACATTGAGAGTACAAGTGTGTGTTTCTGATACAGGTGGAGAGATTGACTGTGTCGATAAGGATGGAAACACTCCGCTGCATGTCGCTGGTCGATATGGCCATGAACTTTTAATAAACACTCTAATCACAAGTGGAGCTGACTGCACCAGGTTTGTCTCTGTCTTTGGATATTTATTGAAAATCTTGGTAAATCATCATTTCTTGTTGTTTCTGATATGCTCATTCTTTCTCTGCAGAAGAGGAGTACATGGCATGTTTCCTTTGCATCTGGCCGCTCTGAATGCTCACGCCGCCTGCTGCCGGAAGCTTCTCTCCTCAGGTACCGACTACACCACCGAATCAAGCTACAGTTGCACTACCTTAATATAACATTGAAAACCTGGTGCAAATCATTTTTGGCTAAATACAAAAACATTATGACATAGCGCTCATGCAGAATATGCAAGATTGAATACGTCTCTGGATGTTTCATGATCTCATTCCTTTTACTCCTCCTCATTATTTCCAGTTCTTTCTATAGTACATTATCAATAGAATTGTCAATTCTTGCTTAATAAAAGTATAAGTCCTTGGCTTGCTGAGTAAAAGTATTAATTAAATACTAGTGCTGTCAAATGATTAATCGCGATTAATCGCATCCAAAATAAAAGTTTTTGTTTACATAATATATTTATGTGTACTGTGTTTATGTATTATGTATATATAAATACACACACATTCAGTATATATTTTGAAAATATTTACATGTGTATATATATTTATATTATTATATTTTATATTATATTTAAATATATTTATATAAACATAACATATTTTTCTTAAATATATACATGCATGTGTTTGTATTTATATATACATAATAAATATACACAGTACACACTCATATATTATGTAAATAAAAACTTTTATTTTGGATGCGATTAAAGGCAGGGTATGTGATTTTTCAAAAACACTTTAGAAAACTGATTTGGGC